AATTGCCATAGATGATATAAAATATATTTTTTAATATGATAAATCCATAGAACTTCTACACTCAATACACATACACGGTCTATTGATACACCGTGTACGTGTTCTTTTACAGAAATCTTTGTGGTCTACAATGTATTCTTGTTTTCTATTTCAGTTATTTATCGCATACTAAATTTAACCAAACTAATTAGTCCACAAGTTTATAGGCATCACAAATGACAAATATATACTATAAATAGAGTATATTATTATAATTTATATACACGAATACACTATGACACTTATGACACTATTTTTGGGCAAAAATGACTATAACCTACTTTTTTAAATCAAATTTACTGCTGAATAAGAAATTATAATAATAATGATATATATTATGTTAATTTTAAATTTATCGGATATATTTTAGATTTTAGATTCTGAGCGGATCGATGACTGAATTAATTTTACAACGATGTGTTCTTCAATTTTTAAATTTTTAAAATGATTTTTTCTTGTGTTCTGTGTGAACGCTTAGTATTCATAATAACTAATAAGGAATCAATTTTCATATATAATATTATATTATAGGCACTCAGAATGTAATCATATATTTGTTTTTAGTTTAGTTGTAGGTATTTAGTAAATAATAATAGGTATACGAAATTGTGTTTTCGAATAATAATTTATTGTTTGCATTAGTAGCTACACCATAACAGGGAACTAAAATGTTGTACAATTTTTATTTGGTAGGTGTAGATAGTGTATAAATGATTTACAAATGTAGTTTTGATGTTTAAAGGATGTTGTAAGATCAATTTATGAGATCCTTGCATTTAATTGTTAGGATTTTTGTATACGAATAATTATTTTATAGAAGATTTTTACATATAATATATAAGTCAATCAGAAATTATTTACACTGAATGTTGATGGTAAAAAGCTATTAAAATATCTATTATTTGTATTTATTTGTTAATAATAATTAAGACTTAAATATTAGCTTGTTCTTTTCACAAAATGTTTTTTAATTAAACTAAATTTGATTTACATTTATATGTTTGGCATTTATCCCAAAGTGATCTCTGAATAATCATTCAATGATGAATTTAATAGTTACATTCCCGGTTACATTAATTATTGGATTATAAATTAGAATTTTTTTTTTGAATTGAATTGAAAGATTTTTTTTTTATTATTTGAAAAACACAAATTATACAAAGTATTTAGAAATAATAAAAAAAAAATTACCTACACCTTTAAGCTAAGCTTGTGGTGGTGCAGGGAGTAACAATAAACATCATTTTCTAGTAATTTAATTCGAATTACAAAAATAAACTACGGTTTCCAGCTTCTACTACAACATTATTATATATTTTTTTAATTTTTAAAATGCAGTCTGCACTTTGTTCCGGTGATTTTACACGTAATATAATAAAATTGATACTAGTGATTTGTACCCGATTGTTTAATTCAATTATTTACAAGATTTCAATAAAAAAATATCTATGAAGTATAAACATCCGCATTTCTATTAACTATAAATTCTTAATTGTATGAGCCATACATATTACTTATATTTTTCGAAAAAATTATTTAATGTCTCACGGGTGACGGGTTGATCTAGCAACTGACTGCTACGACAACTGTGCAATTTTTTTAAGCATAATCCGTTTTGATAACATCCAGAAAAGAGTTTGTCTTAAGACTGTCTGTCTTGATAACAACTAATTTAATTTAAAGTGTATTCTTATATTATATGATAATGGAAAATAATAATTATAGTAAAATATATAATTGCAAAACATTTAATATCTAGCCATATAGGGTATAAACTACACTAAAAAATTTGTGAGTATGCTAATAAAATACAAGAGGTTTATAATGTATTTATGTATATAAAATATAAAGATTGATAACATTATATTGTTTTAAATACTTCACGCAAAACCTAAGATGATACCCGGCTTATAGTATACCTATGCAAAATGGCACTTATTAAACTTGGAGTAGTGAAACGAAAACGGACTTTGGACTGTTCGGTCTCGCGTATTTTATACATGGCGCTTTTAGGATTAAACTTATAAAATATGCTTCTACGTCACCCAGTTAACAGATTGTCCGGGGCAATAAATATTTAATTTAAGTCTTAAAGTAAATGTAAAATACTAAAATAGCAATAATATGAAAACAAACTTACGCGTAAACTTCGACTCTTCCGGTGAAATCTAGCTAGAGTGCCGCCGTCGCCGAAAAAACGGCTATCTTCATCCATCAACATCTTGCTCAGAACTGAAACTTGAAAGTATCGAAATATTTAATGAAAATAATCTGACCATAACAAAATGTGTGAATTTGTGCTAACAAACTGTCCGTATATATTAATCGCTTATTATTTTTTTGTTCACTGAAATTATTAGAATTGTTAATCGTCGCCGACGAATGTCGACAATTGACGATTGCCATAGATATTATTATAAAATATATTATTTACTATGATAAATTCATAGAACTTATATACTATACTAAGTACCTAAACGGTCTTTGGTAAATCGTACGTACTTTTACAGAAATTTTTGTGATCAGCAATGTACTTATTCTGGTTGTCTATTTCATTCATAGTTCGAATACCAAATTTAACTATACGAAACTGGTCAGCAAATGTATAGACATTCTATTAAAATTTAAATTACAATGTGAATTATTATAAGTCTCCTTTGTGGTACTTTCCAAAAACTCGACTACCGGGATTTAAATTAAAAAAGGTGCTCTGCTGTACAGTAGGTCACAAGTGGGTCACTGCATAATGAAAGGAAATTTGAATTCAAAGATAATATAATATCATTGTATAAGAAAAACGATTCTGAGCGGTGACGGTATGTCAGTCTAGGTATAAGACATATTATAAACATATCTATGGTATTAAAAAAAATTGACCTATAATAGGTACCTATAATAAATTCCAAATGAATCATATTACAATATCCATTGACCATTAGGTACTTATAACGCGTTATACATCAACAAAAACCTTGATACTATCATAGATATATAACAGTACACTTTAGAAGTTTCAAGTACTCACGAATAACATTATTCAATCACAACAAAATAACTAAAATAGTTATTCTAGGTTTTTTAATATGTAATTTCGTCCAAATTTGAATTTAAAATGTCTGTAAAAAATAACTGTGTTCATATATTTTTTAGATTTTTTGGTTACAGTATCAACTATTTATGAGAAACTTTGTTTTAAATTTGCAATCCTTAGCTATAAAAACTGAACATTTTATAATTTATTAATTACAATGATTGATAATTTTCGAGATTTTGATAAATTTTGTCAAAATTCGATCTTTAAATGCTTATAAAAAAAACTGTGACTATGTAGGTATTTTTAATATTTTTCAACTGATATTGTAACATTATGGAGCCTAGTATTAAATTTTTACACTTTTTGGCCCAATAGATAAAACTTTATTGATATTCATAGAAAAAAAAAACTAAAAAAAATTATAAGCAGTAAATGTCCGTAAATAGCTCAAAAAGAGTCAAAATATTTTCAAAATTGTATGGTGTATAGGAAATGCTAATTTAAACATTCAGTGAAATTTTCATGTATCTAAAGTTATTCGTTTTTGAATTGCAACAAAATAAGGAAATCGCTACATGAGAAATCGAGTGAATATCCAATGTTGTAAAAATTTGAAGTTCAAACGCTCATAAAAATTTAATTTGACTTTATTATAGACATTTTTTTTTTTTGATAAAGGTAGATAATCTTATAAGGAATCTTGTATTACATTTTCAAATCTTAGATTTAAAAAGAAAAATTTTTACGAATTCTTAACTCAAAATAATTTGCTAATTTTCGTGATTTTTCCATATTTTGTCAATTTTTGAACTTATAATGCTTATAAAAAAAAACTGTGACTAACGATTTTTAATATTTTTCATCTGCCTTTGAAACAATATACTAGGAGCCTTCTATTAAATTTTCAATTTTTTTAACCAACAAATAAAATTTAATTGATATTTCTAGAAAAAAAACTAAAAAAAAATGAAAATGTCCCTAAACAGTTCAAAATAAATCAAAATATTTTGAAAATGTTATCGTGTATAGAAAATGCAAATATAAACAACCAGTGAAAATTTCATGTATCTACGGTCATTTGTTTTAAAGTTACACCAAAAACCAAATTCGATTTTGTCAAAAACCGATTTTGCGTAAAAATTCCCGTTTTTCCTTAATTTTTATGTTGTTTTTCCCGGCGCTTGTGAAAACTATTGGGAATTTTAAATTTTGACCTCCCCAATGCACCAACGATATTCACTTTCCAATCGAACAAGATACTGAAGTCGAAAATCGAAGCATTATTTCGACTACTTATCGTGTACACAGACACAAAAATAAAAAAAAAATTTAAAAAATTAAAAATTAAAAAAAAAATATAAAAACACACATCATTGTAAAATCAATACATTCATCGTTCCACTCAGAATCTAAAAAAAATTCATAATTCGTGACTACGACTGCTACGACTTAACTCGTATGTGTTGGTTGTCCACACTGTAGCGTTTATCAACCGCCGGGCGCCGGCATTCGATTATTTATTCTATATTTCCAGAAGATACCTACCTATGTTTATAAGTTATAGCATACTGTATAAACGTGAAATTATTTAAACATTCTTGAGAAATTAGATTTCTGGTCTCTTCCGTCTCGGATTTGGTCAGTAAAGTTGGGCTAGATGGTACTCCGGTGGTACCTGTCAAATTCTAAGTTTTTAGTTTTCTACTGGTTACAGTCTATCCTGATTTAAAATTGAATATTGATGAATTTACAATAGTTATGAATTATGACGATGTAGAGAAATAATTAACACTTAAGAGTAACAGTAGTTTTACATTTTTTTTTAAAAAATATTCTTTCCGTGATACAACGAAATTCCAAGTTCTCTGAGGTATATCGTTTTTCGTGAGTTGTTTTCGACTCGCCCAGTCAGCAGTCACCCAGTGCGATGGGTCGAAGGAAGAGTAAAAGAAAGCCGCCAGCGAAAAGGAAAGCTATTGAGCCTCTGGACACGCAGTTTAATTGTCCGTTTTGCAATCACGAAAAATCTTGCGAAGTCAAAATGTAAGTACTGCTGTTCGGTTAGGTTTTCCGCTGTCGTCATGTCGAAATGCAATACATAACTAATGCTACCCATGTTATAATTGTCAAACTTGTAGTAATTTAATGATACCCCGTAATCTTTATTACCCCATGTTTGTAGTTGTACACAATTTTGAATTAATGACACCTGTCTATGATTACATTATTGCAGGGACAAAAGTCGAAACGTGGGGAAAGTGTATTGTCGTGTTTGCCTTGAATCATTTCAAACGACTACAAGCTTTTTATCAGAACCAGTTGACATATATAACGACTGGGTTGATGCCTGTGAAGCAGCTAATTGATAATGGGTGGCTACAGAAACAAGACAGAAGTAATTATATTATGATGGTGTAAATCATACAGTTTTCATCTTTTATTATAATAGTATAATATACATAAACATATCAAGACTCATGTTTCGGCTTACATTTGTTGTGTATTATTATGGAGTTCCACATACCTAATAATTTTTTATCAGCTCGTTAAATTTATAATTATAATAATCTTTTAGCCAATGTAGTCTTGTTTATTGCATCCAGATCATCGGTAAAGTAAAATATATTATGTTAACATTATATTTTAATATATTTTAAATTATACTCAGTGTCAGTATAACTAATAATTATAATATTATACCTTGTCGAATTCGAGTATTTTACATAAAAATTCTTCAGTATGTTTGGTATTTACTCTCATAGTCTCATTGATACACCATATCAAAAATAATCAATATTTTATAGTTACGGCTACACAACTATGTATTTCATATTCAAGTATATTATGAATATAGGTACCGTACTTTAAATTACTTGCAGATTGTTTACAAAGATCAACTTGTTTGCTGTGATGAAAAGTGTACTATACTCTTTTCAGAACAAGAAGGAACCAGGCGGCCACGGACAAAACCGGTTTTGTTACGTAAATCTGGTGCGTTCTTATTCTGAAAAGAGTATAATCAACTTATTTGTATTATATTATCACTGTTTCAAGTTGTGGAACAGATATTTTTTTAATAACTAAATCTAACTTGAATTTATAAATTTATAGCACTTAACTCATCATTCATCACTATGTTAAAGTACTTTTTATCTTTTTTTAGATTAAACAACAAATTGATGCCAAAACAATATTGAAATCTAATATATTAAGTCTTTTTTTCTAAGAATTATGTCAATATTGTTGTAGTCACCCTACACAACTTATAAAATTATATAATATAATATTTTAGTTTTATGTAATTTTATTTTCATTATAAGAATTATGGTAAACTTAATCTATTTTTCTATAGATTAACAAACAAATTTCGAATTTTATGAAATAAATTAATATTATTGATTTACTATTTTTCAACTTGCTTGTGAATAAAAAAATTATATCTGTACCTAAAAGAGTATTTTGTATTTTTTTTTTTTTGAATATATATTTTAGTAGTTTGTTATTTACTAATCATTGTCATTTGTCCTTTTAAATTTAAAATATCATCACATTTTAAATAAACTTTTCTAATATAACCAAGATTGATTTTTTTTCTGTTTTATAAATTTACACCAAATGGCTTTTAACACAGTTGTGACAATTGAAATGACAATATATACATAAGTAGATATCACAGTAAAGTTATGACTAGTGTTAATTTAATAAGATAGGCAAAACAAAACAAATTTATATTAATACCAAAAATCAATATTATTATTATTTAAAAAATGCATGGCTCTGATTAAAGGAGGATCGTTCAATTAAAAGTTGGACCTTGAAATGGGAAAGAGGAATAGCTCTTGTGATGAAGTAAGTTGAACAAAATTCATTGTTCCCTGTTTTTTACCATTTTCTAGTGAACCGAGTTTTAATATTCTCATGGCTGTCGAGTAGTTATTGTGCAGAGGGTTGTCAATTTTTAATTAAAAGGAATTGAGATTGAACTCGTTCGACAAGTTGAAGTTTGATCTTGACCTGAAGGAATAGATTCCAAACTAATAACTTTCGATCCGTTATCTAAGATTGATTTAACAATTACAATATATCTATATCATCTATAGAGTGACTAAACAAGTATTGAGTTGAATTCAGTTATATGACGTCGAATAAATCATGAAATCATTATTGCCTTGCAGGAAATATAATCTATATGGGATCTAATGGATAAAATTATGAGCATAATATGAATCCAACATCTTTAGTCTTTAGGATCCACTTTATTGGTGTCCTATTGAGAGTATAATGTTGTAATATATAAAAGTTCTAGATCTGGAAAAGGACATGACTTTACATTATCTTCATTGAGTTAGGCCAAATCATTTTACACCAGGTTATAAAACTATTTAATGACAAATGAAGTCAGCAAAAAGTAAAATACAATAAGAGGGTGAATTTAGAAAAACTGTACCTATTAATAAAAAGGTTAAATAATAAGAGTGATAAGCCTTGGGGAACCTCGGATGTTACCTTGAACATTTTGGATGAAACACCAAATAAATTGACAAATTTTCATCTACCTGTTAGGTATGAGTGGAATCATGATTAGAGAGGATCTCCCATTCCTGATTTATCGAGAATGTGAATTATTGAAATATTGTGAGTGTGTGTTAAAAATTATGATTTATAATTTAGTATTTTTATGAATGGTCATATATTTTGGAAACTTAAATAGTCTTAAAAATGGAAATTTCATTAGGTAGCTACATATATTATAATAAAAATTTTAAAATTTAAAAAAAAGTTTTGGACATATACTCTGTTTAAGTTAAGAAATGTAGTTGGCGGCGACCAGTTTTTGTTGGGCAATATACATTTGTCACTCCCACTCGGTCAATTATCTGTATCCCTGCGTCCTGCCATGTAGTACTGCTACGTCCCTGAAAACAAATTTTAATTGGCCACCAACTACATTTCTTAACTTGATCAGAGTAGATGTATGTTATCTTTATTTAATAACTTTTCAAGTCGGAAAATTAATTTACATTTTAAAATATTGTTATTCAAAAACAAAATTTGAATTACTTTATAAATTGAAATATAAAACTTTTATCAGTGATTGATAGCATAGAAATATTTCATGAAGGACTGTCGGCTGAAAAAATATTGCGTGGAGGATATTATCATAATAGTATATATACAATTGTAAATAATATTATATGAAATAAGTTGTATTTGATTAATTAATATTATGGTCCATGGACAAAGATAATATTAATAAATAGACCATGACAAAATAGATGTACACGTTTATATTAGATAATTCACAATATTGGATGCAGAAAAAAAGGTTAGGTACTAAGACACGATTTATGAAAATAATATTTTATAACAAAAAAAAGTTAAAAGAATTAACTTAAATATACATACAAATACTGAAAAACTGAATACAACGTATTAACTGAACCAGTGGCTCCCCATACACTCCCTTGTCCATTCTGTCTGACACAACCAACACCATGGAAATGAACACCGTGTACATACCATGTGCATACAACCTCCTTAAAAATAATAAAGGAAACAATGAAACATATAAAATACTCAAATAATATAATATCTACCGTCTCGTTCAGTGGCCGTACGACATTTTGGACAAGGTTTTGTAGAAACTTTGATCTTTACTTTGCTTGCATCATCCCATTTAGACTAAAATATAGATAATTAAATTATTTTTATTGAGTATATAAGATATTATTATTAATCAATATTTTATATTTGTATACCTGTGAAACTAGCTTAGGGTCAACTGAATAACCAGTAATATCAATAATTAATTGCTCTTCTTTTGGAAGACATTCACCAATATGATAACCTTGGAGGCATTTCTTACAAAACACATACTAAAATTTAGAAAACAGTTCACTTTAGAATCCTTCCTAAATGAAAATTCCTGTAAACAGTATTACCCCACATCCATTAATACACGACACTTTGTCACAGTCATCATCAACAAGTATACCTGCACCACAATTGGGTTGAGGACATAAAACACCACCATTCTTAAGCACATATTCTTCAGTTGCAAACCTTTCATACATTTCAAACTAATAAACATGTAAAAACTTTAGAAAATTTAATGTGACATAAAAACATATGTATATTCTGTGTATGTCAATGGCAAAACCATGAATATGATTTGTTATTAATTATAATAGGTAGCATTTAAAAATACAATAAATAAGCATTTGGGCTATATACATATGAATATTTGGGCATTATTAAAAGAAGATTGATTCTCATACTTTATGTTTGATTTTGCCATTGATATAATCCATATTACATTGTTACATGCTTAACGATACTTACATGATCTTTGCTTAACACTTTAAAATGGTAGGGCTGGTTAATTAAACTATTAGGGCAACCAGCTGGGCAAGGTAATGTGTAACCAATATCATTGTCGAATACAAATCTTCTTTCTCTAAGCCGGCTAACTGCATACTCACAAAAACATTCTAAGCAAGTTACATGGCCATCATCACATGGATATACAAATACTTTTGATCTATAAAAACATACAATAAGTCATTACCTTAGAAACAATAAAATAATATTACCTGACATCAGTACAAGCTAGACATTGAATATCATGCAAGTTATTTCTAATTAAATGTAGTGCCACTGCTTCATCATTTTCACCTTTGGTAACATGTTCAGAACATTTGAAATAAAACTCTGACCACCCTACCTCCCCATCCTAAGAAAATTAACCATTTAAAAATAATAACAAATCAATGACATAAAATTAAATTAAAAAATACATACTGTACATTGAGATATCTCACAATGTCCTGTTATTCTTTTAGGTTTGAGCACATCATTCCAGTTTTTTGGGTCACTGTCCACAGTAAATGCACCACTCTTACATTTAAAACATCTCACACGGATTTTGCCAACGGTTGTATTGGCACAAGGTGAAGTGCAGTACACATAAAAGTTTACAGCTGCACGTTTTGTATCATCAAACTCTTCGTCTTCTTCTATGCATGTAGATACACGTGGCTTGCGTTTAAACGACCTGCGCCTGGACTTAACAGCATGTAACACAGTCTGTTCTGCTAGATTATACTCTTCCAATAATTCCGAATCTTGTAGTTCTTTGCCGGCAAATATTATCATCAACTACCAGAGCAACAGCATAAGCCGTGAGTGGAAAAAAAAAAAGGATAAGCAGCAATATAAATATATAATATACCTATGATATAATGATTATAATGAGTTGCAAGCAAACCTCTTCGGGGGTCATGCCCAACTTGGGGGCGACAAACTCTTTGACGTCTCGGACTTCCCATTTCGGGTCCAGTCCCACGGGCACAACAGTGCCGGTATTGGTCTTAACAAATATTAACAGCGAATTCGTGATGCGCCGAGAGAATATCGTGTCTAGAACACGGCGGATGAAATTCAATAAGCAATCCAACATATACATCACGTACTCGGTTTACGAACAATTTATCATCATTAATATGTATTTTGTATTAATATTAATAATAATGTTGAGAATCGAGATTTGAGGTAAATATAAATAAATATCGTCAATCGTAACAAATTGCGAATCGGTCACTAATCGCTATCATGATTTATTATTTTTAAACGGTCAAACCGCGGGGTCATGTGATAACAGACATGTGCGACAACGTCGGGTTGGAAACTATTAATTGCCTTCAGCCTTTTTAAACCGATTGCCGCCGAATTTACTTGATGATCCGTTGCCCATGGTTTATTTATTTATTTGACTTTAAAATTTAAATGATTGTATTTAAATGTATTAATCTTCAATAGTCTTTAACTACTATTTCAAGTATTTTGACCCAGCCAACAATTATTTTACCGATTTTTGTAGACATAAACATAAAAAAATTAATGAAAAAATTCATATCCCTATAATTATAGCTGTACTACATTGTTTCCACTGATTCCCTTATTGAGAGTCTAATAATTATTGTACCAATTAGCCCCAATTTTCCACGAGAACTCGAGAAAACAACATAAAATAATGGTTGAAGTTTATTTACTGCTCCACAAAGTGATGATAGCCACTAAAAAACTCTTGCATAATCGTAAAACCAATAAACACATAGCTCCTCTCAGAATCTAAAAACTATAGAATATGAATATTATCTATTAGGTAAACATAAATATCTAATAATAATTAAATATACTATTATATAATAAATCAAAGTTACCTACCTATAATAAATTAGACCACATGACTTATTGTATATTATATTAATTCTATAAATCACTTTTAATCGATCAATACCACGATATTAGGTACCTATTTAGTTACCTATACCTATTTAGAGAACCTAATATATATAAACATTATTTAAATTTCCATAAATTGCTAAATGTATATTTTAATACTAGTAATAAGAATTTATGATAATTATTATAATTTATAATCATTGTCGATTAACGCGAGAAATAAAAAAATATATATATCAATAGTAGGCTGCATTGTGTAATATGTATAAATAATTTATACGAGTATAATATAAATAATAAGTATCATTTAGGTATGTATTATGTGCTAAACCTTACGTCCTTATATAATAATCCATACTCGCAATTTCAACTTTTTACTTGGGGGGCTGAATATATTAAAGGCAAGCAAACCATTGCAATATAGCAGGCCCGGTTCTAGGACATTTTCGTATGGAAAGTAGATTTATAATTAGGTTTTAACTGCGAATAATATTCCTCATTTCCTCCCCCTTCCCCAATAAGGGGCACCAGAAATGTTGGTATGAGCAGCTACCCACCCTGCCCATACGCTAGAACCGCCACTGCAATATAGCATTTTAAAATTGCATGTCCTGGGTTTTGGCGGAGGGGGGCTACGGCTGAGTTTGGGGGAGCTTAGCCCCCCCCCAATTTGTGCCTATGTAATAATCCCACACAGCATTTGGAAATTATAATTTATAATGTTTACACAGTCTCGCCAGTAGCCTCCCAGGTCGAGAATATTTCAGAAGCATTATCATTTTCTTATTACTGTTTATATAGTCTTGAATACTCACTTGAGTCTTAAATAACATAAGCAAATATTATTATTTTTCAACTTTTTGTTATCTCCAAATAAAATAGTATAGACGTTCCATACTTCTATAGCTATATACAAAGGTTCGTAAATCGTAAGCATACATTATTTTAAAAAAAATTTTAATATCAAAGGACATTTTTGAAAAAAAATTATATTTTAAATTTATACATCATTTTTTATTTATGAAAATCTTATTTTGAACGAGTAGATAATTAATTATAAATTTATAATGACTCATTATTAATGATTACTGATGAGTGATGAATAATCTATACGACTACGCCAATACTCAGTGGCGCCGATCTATATTTCACGTTATGGGAAAAACAATTCTAATGTTAGACCCACCTACTTAAAAAAATGTTTAACTACTCTCGAATAGTGCATTATAATCCTGATATACTGCCTGGTGACCTGCCATACTCATAATATTATTGCCTATTAAATACACTTATCATTATGGCATTAGTGTTAAATTATGATGATGTTTAAATACCTATTAAATAAAAGTTGTACCATCACTCACTCATTTTCACACACCCGCCAACCTTAAATAGTTAAATAGTTCTAGGGAATTTTCACTAGTTGATACCTGTGTTCGGCCTTCGGCGCCACTGCCAATACTTCTGTCTACTATAGTCTATAATGATTAATAAGGCCGTTAATCTCGAACTCGTAGGTATGTTAGAATAGTTACACTACATTTTAGCAGACATTAGATATAAATATACATATTATATTCTTAAACATAATAAGTATTAAGTACCACCACAAGGTAGCCAAAAGATACTAAATTTAAAATATACCAATAAATACATTTAGCCATTTAGGTATAAAAGATGTCTTAAGTGTTACACACTTAAAAGTGTATAAGCATTATAAAAAATAATAATAAACACTGAATAACGAGCGAATAAGTAATTACCACGATTTATACAATCTTAAATCGTGGTAATTAATAATTTCCATGTTTTCAAAAACGCTTATTACAAGTAATAAAAACCTACCTTTGTTGACGTGGTTACACTGTAACCTTGGTCTTAAACTTTTATCATTGACAACTAGGAAAAAAATTCATAGATAATGGTTTATCACTTTCAACATTGAACATCAACAAAACAGCGGCTTTTCGCTGCAAAGAAACCGCGATTTATAATTTTGATTTATATTTATTTTTTATTTTAGTTCGGGTTCAAATGCCTCGATGAAAGTTGGCTATACAGACGGCCATTATCTCTTTTAATGTTATTGAAAAAAAAGTAAAAATGAACAACCTTTTAGTTTACAGAACGCTGTTAATAAAATTCGCGTTTTCGTCGTTACTAATTTTCTTGCACTTTCTTTACGCGTTGTATTCGTGGCTCGTCGATCAGACGATATTCAAACAGCCGGATCCTTGGCAGAATCGTTCCATCAACGGATACAAAAAGTACCGGTTGAAAAAGTTGCCCAACCATCTTGTGGTGTCCGTATGCCAGGAGGAAGTTTTCTACGAATATCTGGCCAAGTTGCTTGCCTGGGCGTTGTTCCTAGAAGTACCTGTCGTCAGCTTTTATCACAACGAAAACGGTAACGTGTTAAAATTGAACCCATAGAATTTATTTTTCACAAGTGATGCCAATGATGTAGCTAGTCTATAATTGTTAGCTCAGAAGGGCCAACACCAGTGGTATAAAGTATTTAAGTATTGGTATTCAAATACTTAATCATGAATTATATACTTATTTAATAATGTTTTAAATACTTTCCATCAACAAGTATTTTGAGTAAATTATTTTAAATTTTGTTTTACTATATTGAATACTTTCCTTCAAATATTTTCCATATTCGGAATTGTTGTAAAAAGAAATTCTTATATTTTTGTATAACATGCCACTGCTAGTTCGACAAATAATATAATACCTTTCTATCTACTAATTTTGAACAAAAAATATTTTTGAAATGTAACAAACTAACAATGTTAATACAATTTATTGGTGCAGTGTGAAATATTAATTTAAATTTATCTTAAATATAATAAAACTCTCATCGATAAAATGTGTCCATGTTGATGGGTAATTTAAATTTGAATAAATTCATAAATAATATGGTAAGTATAACTAAAAATTTCCATATAGGAGGTACCTACTAAAATGTATTAATAAGTATTTATAAACACCGAATAGTTTAAATTAAATTAGAAATTTTTTTTAAAAGACCTATTTAAAATTAGGAAATTTATGTTAAAAAAAAATATACATTTACTATAATATACTTAAATACATTACAATAAAGTATTTTCTTACAACACTGGTCAGCACACATAAATTGCCCTGCTTACTCTATTAAAAATAACAGTTGTTGTAAATAATATTAAAATATGTACCTAATTATTATGAAAATTAATCTTGTATCCACCCTCCCACTCATGTTGGCCTTAGATCGGTGCCCCCAAATAGCTTAGCCTGTTACATAAGTGTACAATACTACAACATATTACCTTATACTAGTCATATTGAAATTACTGATATGTTTTTTTGTAGGTATATCTCCAGAAGAATTATTTTTTGCATTTAGAGATCAATACAGTAGTTTGTTGACAAAAGTCAATTGGGGATTAGAATTCAATGAGAACATCAAATTTGAATCAAAAAAATGTATTAATGGTAAATATAATTATTGAATAATGCTTTATATACTATGTTGCAAGTTTCTTGGATAATTTGTTATTAACAATTCCATGAAATAGAATTTATTCAAATAGCACAACATCAATATATATTTTTATACTTCAAGGATATAAATGGGAACCAAGAATTGAAGTCAACATATTGACATCTAAACATTCTAAATTACAATTAGTAAACGCCTTGCGAACTGTGTGCAGCACAGAAGAAGAATTCTCAGACACTTTAGTCGAGTTTGCGATTAATAAAACATTCCCCATGATTGAGCCGGATTTGGTTGTAATCTGTGGCAAGTCGTGTACAACATTTGGTTTATTACCTTGGCACACTCGTGTCACTGAATTTTTGTGAGTTAAATATTTAGACATTTTAAATTTAGTTAAAACTCGCATGCTTTTGCATAATTACTCATTAATTATTCTGTTTTTGGGTTCTAGAACATTGAAAACACATTACAATGTTACATTTTTGAAGTTTTACAAATTATTGGAACAATACAGCAGAAATGAACAAAGATTTGGAAAATGAAGTCTTTGTTAGATTTTGATAACTACATTTAAGTGTAAATAATAGTTTATTTTGTTCGTCAATTGTTGTAACATTGTTATTAAAAGGATATTTGTTTCCTAATAAATTATTTATTAAAATCAAATCAAATTTATGCATGAATATGTTTCCAGATATCATTGAAATGGTTGGAGTTATTCAAAACATTTAGCCATGTATCATAAACTGCACTGAAATAGTTATATTTATTAACCAATAACTCTCAAATAAATATATTTAAATTTGTCAATATATATATTAGGGTGGTCCTTATTTTTCATTTAGGATTTTTCCAAATTACCCCCCCCCCTAAAAATATAAATTAGCAAAAAAAAAACTATGTACGGAATACACTTAATGTGGCGAATAAATTAGTCCCAGTGTCAGTTTACCATTACAGAAATCTATCAATAATCATTATTTGTTTTACCAATTAAGAAATTCTGAATAAAATATTAACAATGTTCTGAAAAATGATAAGTTTATTTATTTTGGTTATTGTGTATTATAGCTTATAATTGATATAATAACCTAATGTAGAGCACTTTTAGATTGAAAATGTATTAAGTGATAAAGTTAGTAAAAAAGTATACAATTTATAACATAAAAATAATTATAACTATTCAATTTCTAATCTGGATCAGTAGAAAATAAATGATAAAATGTGTGGTACTGCAATATTGACATTTTAAACAGAAATAAAAATATGGTTATTCTCAAAAAAAATTAAAAGAGCATTAAAATGATAAAGTTATTGATTTATTTGTTAAAAATTGTATGTATATAGGTAATACTACTTATTTTTAATAAATAAATGAATTATAGATTTGTTATTTATAAGATGTGTTGCATACATTATGGATCTATAAAATTAATTTTAATTTAATGTTTGAGATTATAACATAAGTTTTCAATTACAATTTAATATTGATGAGTACACTAAATAAAAAATAAAATTTGTTATATATTTTTTTGGTCTAATTGAACATTTTAGTAAATTTATTAAGAACTAAACTTAAAAGTATAAAAAAAAAAGTGGGAAAATATAATTAAGTAAATGAGTAATATCAATAAAATAATAATTAAGAATTTTTATCTCTTAAAATAACATTTTGACCAGGAAATTATCGTCTATACCGGTGTTTATTAGTTCTTGATTCATTTGAACTAGAAGAACTGTTTCGTTTGCTTTTATACTTTCTGGAATATGAATGGCGTGATAGTGGCGATCGACTTTGTCTTGATCTAAAACTATGTGGAGATCTTCTATAATATCTTGAACGTGACCTACTACTATGTTTTGATCGCGATCTACTTTTATTTCTAGATCGCGATCTTCGTTTTATTTTTACACCATCTTTTAAAATTTTTTTGTTCAAAGATTTTGATTGAACTTTATCGTTTTTTTTATAGTTATATATTTTACTGTTAGTATTATCGCTCTTCATCTTATCACTACTACTGCTTGACAAACTAGAACTTGATGATCTTTTGGATTTAGATTTCTTTTTCTTTTGTAAATTTTTAATATTCAAATCATCAAGTAATTCATTTTTGACTATATCATGACTCTTGTCAATCTTTTGGTTAGATCCTACATCTTCATTATTCCCTGAAATACAAGATTATAGCAATTCATTATTCTAAAATAATCCTAAAATCAATGAATTCAATGCTAAAATGAATATGGTTAAAAATATATTAATATATTAATATTTTTATCACATAATATAGGTGTAATAGTTTATAGGCAATACAATATACTTGGTATTGATATTAACAAAAAAAACACAACACATACCAATTACTAAATAATAGTTAATTATTTTTAAAAACAAAACTCTTGTTTATTTATTTAACTTATTTTTAACTCTGGAATATTGAATACTAAACTACAAACTTGTTCAATATACACATTTATTTTTTATTAAACTAATGAAACATAATTTTACCTTTTGTCCGAATGTTTTCCACTACCTGACTACCAATATCATTAATTTCTTCACTCATCTTGACACTGTTATCAAATTTAGACCTCACAAGTTTTTCCTTGTCTTCTAGTTGATCCAATTCTTTAAGTATCCTTGCTTCAATATTACTGAACTCACGTTGGCGTTTCAATATTCTTTCCTAAATATGATATAAATTCTAGATTTTTTTTTCAATTATGTTTGAAGATCAAAAATGATTTCAATCAATTGAAACAAATTAAACATATTATTTACTTGAATAGCTTCATCAGAATCTTGTTTAAATTGCTTGTGTCGGGTTGAGTGCTGTTCATCGTCACTTTCATCCGATGACTCAGATTCTGAACCATAAACTTCGAGCCCTTTAGTAAATTTTTTTATTATAACAAGTTAATTACAAACAAAAAGTATTTCTAGATGATGTATGACATAAAAATATTGGTTAAAATTAAAACAATATAAATAGTACAAATTAGCAGTATATTATTATTGATTTGATTTATGGATGATTATCTATAACTTCACAATAAGTATATTTAACTCAGATTCAAGTAATGGAATAGCACATTAATGTAGAATTATATATTAAACAGTAAGTTATATAATAATTTTAAAAACTTACCTAGCTTACCAGCTAATGATGTTTGGCTTTGATTTCCTCGAATATCTGTTATATGGCATATTTTAATTTTGATAATACATTTAAAAGTATATAAATATAAATATACCTAATATTTTATTCATGTATTTAATTATTCACGTACTTACGCTATCAAACTATTTTATGAACAGAGTTATAATTCATTATTGATAAATATTACCTGTTTGTACAGCAGTTTTTAGCACCTCTTTAACTACACTTAACATCATATCATTAGTAACATCCATTAACAATTTTGTTAGAATTTTTCGTAGACTTAACATCTGAAATAATTTAATTCCAATAGATTTATTACTATAAATATTTGTTTGTAAAAATATAAGAAACAATAATTAAAAAATTTTTTTTTGAATACAAGTAAATGTTAAAAACTGTATTACCGTATCTCCCCAGATTTGAGCTTTAGTCTTACGTGGAATGAGAGGAGAAGGGTCATTCTGCACAAACTCGGTTTTTCTGGGTTCATTGATGTAATTTGAAGACACATGTTCAATATCATCATCGACCATTTCAGTTTCATGATCAAAGTTAATTGGCGACTAAAAAAAAAACATAATTATCAAAATATTTTTATAATACTGTCGAGTCGCGAATTGCGATAACTCGAAGTTGAAGAGAGATGAAAATTCACTTAGATATCTAAATAGTTTATAGGGGAAAATTTTCTAAGGGTATAAAACGAAATTCAAGTTGTCAAGTTTTTTGAGTTATTGCGACTCGACTGTATTAAAAACTTGTAACAAAATTAATAAAAAAATGTTTTATACATCGGGCAATTCTTGAATAAAATTTTCATTCATTGAATTAGAACAATCAGGTTCACTAAACGATTGTATTTGTTCAATTTTACGTCGTTTTTCCCTTTCCATTTTTTCAAGTCCCTCTCGAATCCAAGCAGGCAATTGCTTTCTTTTTGCCGCATCTGATTATAAATTATAAACCAAAAATATTGTGTAATGTAACAAAAAATGATATTATTTTGTTTCAGATTTAGTAATATAATAATATAAAATCAAACTTACCAATAAATGATGGATCTTGAGTTCTATCATCCACCTTGGAAATCACATTAAGTTTATTCCATTGATTTGATTCAGAAGGCGGTGGAACTGTAGTATTAGGCCCTGCCCAATAATTCTAAAATAGCATAAATAAGTAAAAATAATTTGTATTATTTAAATATTAAAAACTTACATTAGGTGGGTATGGTGTGTTTAGCGTCATCATTGGGAAAGATGGAGGTGGTTCGGATAATATAGGAGGTACAAAAGATGGTCTAAGTGAATTAACTGACTCTACAATTGGTGCTTTAGTTGGTAGAGCTGTTGAAGTAGATGACCAATTCCAATTTGATTGTTGCTGTTGCTGCCAAGTCCATGTATTCCAAGCTGTTGGTTTTTCAATATTATTTCCTAGAAAATAAGAGTAATAAAAATATTACTTGTAGGTATAAAGATTCCCACTAGTTTGATAAATTACTAACTTGTAACAGGACTGGCAATATTATGATCACTAAACATTTTATTTGTTACTGCTGCTACGTTTGAGGGATTCTGAGGTACTACATCTATATGCTGACCAACTTTGTGCAAACTTTGTTCAGAAAGCGGCATCTTTACTTGTTGTCCAGGGGATAATATGGCGGGTGAAGTTTCTTTCATTTTTATCCATTGTTGAGCCAAACTTGCCCAATCCACTAGAAAATATAATTTTGTCTTAAATCTTACCTTTACGGCACTGTTTACTGTTGATAATATGTACCTTGTTCGTTAGTCATGTTTTTATAAAATGTTGGATTCATCCATTGGTTTCCATAAGACATGTTTGATGACGTTGGATCCGACCACATTACCACAATACCTATGGAAATCGAATGCTCAAGACAATGTTATTAAATTCTAATTTCAAAGCTGAATGTTTTATAGTTAGTGAAGTATCAAAACCTGTGGACACTTAAAACATAAACAAGATTTAGTACGACTTTTACTATGTCATACGACAACAACAAAAACAATTTTAACCCCGCCTTAACTTACCCAAATTAAAAATGTATTATTACCGTATAGTCAAAAATGTTGTCGTGGGCTGTCAATTACGTAAACAATGTTACACCGCGGTATATGTTGTCTGGTACAGTACCGTTTCGATTGTAGACTTAGAATTAGGTAAGTTGAACTTTACTCAAGTTACTTTTGTTTTGGTCGATACGTGACTATGTCTATGTGCGCTATAGCACAAGTAGAGTACTAAGCGTAACTGCTAACTACTAAGTAATAAGTAATTCAAGTAGGTATACTAATATTCAGGTATACATTATTCAAGAAGTGACAAGAAGTAAACATTATGTCGTAGACATACTTCACGGACACAATATTACAAAAGATATATTTGTAATACACAAAAATACAGAATAGATTTTATAGTACGTAATAATATGTATGTATAATAATATGCGATGTACCGATGTACAGTACATACGATATTAGATCATATTATTAAAGGTACGAATGTACGATACTATGATAAACTATAAATTATTAATAATATTTATTATATAAATGACCTATGGTTAGGAGAACAAATGTACGTCACAATCGTCACATCAGTCAGTTGTACATCGTTCTATTGTTGTACAGTGTACTGTTATATGGATAATGGAATAATGGATAAACCACGATCGTTGGGTAAACACAGATATAAATATTATCTATGGATCCACCATGAGAATTTATTATTAAATGAATTCTGTGATATTGTGGTGATATCTGAGGTGATAATATACTTAATAACACGGACTAAGATATACAGGACTGGTCACGACAAGGTTGGAGGGTGTGGGGGGGTTGACTACGAAATGTTTTACAACAGGCAGTGTTCGGGGGGATATTTTCCTTTTAGCATTACTAGCGCCGTCTTAGTGGATACTTATGGAACTAGATCACATTATTGTCATCTAGTTCCAAAAGTATCCACTAAGACGGCGCTAGTAATGCTAAAAGGAAAATATCCCCCCGAACTCCGCCTGTTGTAAAACATTTCGTAACCACAATATTCATCTCGTGTCCAGTCCTGTATATCTAAGGGCCAGTATTACCATCTCCAGTTAAATTTAACGGACTCCTAACCAGTGGAATTCGGCCGGTAATAAAATCTGTTATCAGTTGGTTAAGCGTAATCGAAGTGTAATCAATGATTGTAATACTGGCCCTTAGTCCGTGCTTAATAATGATAATAATATCTATGATAAAAATATCTAGAATTTCAATTTTCATAGATAAATGATAATGCTTAAACTTATTTCTATAAAAACTCTAGATACTAGATAGCCATGAGTCATGACGTTGAAAGTACTAAGTAGCCTGATGGTTCAGAACAATAAGTATATGATGCGGTATTCTGAAGACTAAATTATAGAGAATTCTTCCTCCAGTAGTCCAGTTCTTGGACTTTCAAAAATAATCGTGTAGAGTACTTACTACTTTGTTGGTACTTCAGCAGTTGAGTACTCTTCCTCAATCGTCAATAGAATTCAGCATTACTTATTTATAAATTCTGAAATGTTGATTATCACACCAAGTATCTACTTTGTGGAATTTAAGGGATTTTTGTTCCATTAAAATATATCATTATAACAAATACTGAAATACCTATTCAACTATGGAGAACACTAATATTGTTCAAAATGTGAGTTTAGTCACAATAGACCATTACATGAGTAGTCCGGCTGACGGTTTCGATACTCTGTACTCTGAGTTTTGGGGAACACAGATACTTAAGGTTCCCGTTCTTAGGGTGTTCGGATGTACGCCAAACGGTAATTATAAGGATAATGTGTTTAAAAAATGGAAGATATATGCTTATACTGCTTATAGTTTATTTTGGTTTATACTTGATATAATAATATTTTAGAGTGCTGAATAAATTGTAAATAGAGTTATTACTTATTGTTCAATGTTTAGGTGAAAAGTGCTGTCTACACGTGCATGGTGTCTTTCCTTATATATTTATTCCATTAGAAGAATCGTATGAAACTAAGAATCAAGAGATCTTATACAATTTTGGAAATAGCCTAGATAAAGCGTTGAGCCTGGCTATTGGATCCACAAATTCAAAATCTAAACATATTCATAATATTATTACAGTATGTGGAAAGTAAGTTCAATAGTTCTTCAAATAAGCCCACTTATGTATTTAAAAATGTAATTAATATTTATAGATCATTTTATGGCTATCATACGGAGAACACTAAATTTTTAAAAATACTCTTCTACAATCCATATTCGGCAAAAATTGCTGTTGATTTATTACAAGTAAATATAAAATAATATATTTGTATACATTTTAGTGTCTCTTATACATTATATTTTATACTTAGCAAGACAAAATAGTTTTTCCTGGACATTGCAATATTTTTATTTTTATTTTTAGAATGGAGCAGTTTGTAACACAATATTCCAGCCTCATGAAGCACATATACCGTATCATTTGCAGTTTATGATAGATTATAATCTTCATGGAATGAATTATATTAAATTGTCTAGTGTCAAGTATAGGAATTCTGTAGAACAAGGGTAAGTTGGGTAAAAAAAATATTTGTTGTTCAACTTTTTTTTAAATTGTAGTAGTTACTACATTACTGTTTCTACCATCAGATTTAGTATTGATTTTTTAATATCAATCATCATTTTAAAATCTAAAGGTAATATATTATTATACAGTATGTCCCAAAAGCCCCGTATCACCCTTAATATCTCCTTGGAAAATCAATATATTTAAATGCCGTTTTTTTACCGTAGTAAGTATGGAAATTCTGATTGAATAACATAATATTCAATTTATAGATACTTCTACCTAAGAAACCATTGTTCAATGTTATTAACAGATTAATTCGATTTTTGGAAACAGGTAAAATTGCGTTATCTTCATGTTACAATAATGTTGCAAATACTTTCTTTCTTAATTTTTTTTTGTGCTTAACCGCACAAATAATAAATAATTTTTTGACTGTTTAAGCTAATTGTTAAAGCATGCAAATCGTATTTTGCTAATACCGTTTGCGTATGTAATATAATATAAGTATTATTCTTAGAAATTCAAAATAATAGTTAGCTCTAACTTGGTTGATTTTCATTAAATTTTAATATTATTTTTTTTGAACTGTTTTAAAAAATACAATTAAAGAAACGGCTATCTTAGAAATTTAAAAAAACTTTTTGCCCAAAATAATTTTTTTGAATTTTTGAAAAACAAAAATTGAATATTATGCTATTCAATCAGAATTTCCATACTTAATGCTGTAAAAATAATTGGTATTTAAATAAATTGATTTTCAACGGATATTCTAAGGGTGATATGAGACTTTTGGGACCTACTGTATACTGGGTAAAAAATTTAGATTAATAAAACTTCTATTTATTTTAATTGGAAATATGTTAAATTAAAATCAAGTACTTTTACTAGTTCAAACACTAATTAGTTGGTTTTTATTGAATAGAAGTTTTTCTTAATTTTTTTTTTATTCTTTTATTTATTTAAATGTTTGTATTCTTAGGCTTTCCAAAACTAGTCGATGTACTAATGAAATGGATGTGCAAGCTATCCACATCTTAAACCCTATATTGATTAATGGTATCAACATTTTTTTCTTCTGAAAAATGTTTTCTTCTATTTAATTTTTGATTCAATTTTTCCTTAATATTTTAGGAGAATTAGAAAATTCTGGTTTAGTCAATATTCGGGAACAAATAAATAAACTATCTACAGACTTGAACATAACAAGAAAAGGACTTGAAGTATTCAGTGGAGAAAGGAAATTAACTGTTCCATCAAATATAGAAATTGAATTTGGAATTGAATTAAAAAAGAAAATAAAAGAAATAAAAGTAATTGTTTAATATTTTATATCATATAACTACTGTTAATTTTAATTATTACTTTTAATTACATTTATTCCCTTGAAACATTTCCAATCCATCTCAGTTTAATATAAATATTAATTCATTTCAAAATAATGTTCAGGGGATTTTAGAGCAGCATAAATTGGTGTATATAAAATATAATATCAACATTAATATTTCTATTAAAAATCTTCATAGTAGTTGCTGTATACATTTGTTTTTATACTTATGTTTCATTTAAACATTAATGTTTTGCAGAAAAAAAATGTAATAAAAAAGACATCGACAGAGTTAGAAATATCTGTGAATGAAGAGTTAGTAATTAATTTATCACAAGTTTTCCAGTCTCAAACCTCTTGTAAGTTATAAATTATATATTTTTTTAAATCTTTAAATGTATTTATATTTTATATATTCTTTACTATGTTTATTATTATTTATTAGTGAGTGTACCCAACTTTTCCACAAATCACCATACTAGATAAAAATATATAATTTATTCTTGTTTAAATATTAATTACATAAATGCTTAAGAAGAACATATGGCATTTTATAATTTAAATACTTTAGCTATCAAATATTTGTATGTTTTCCTATTTTACTTTATTTTTTCTATCAATAATAAATTAACTAATTTTTAACTATACTCTTATAATATAGGGGATAGTCAAAGTATTGATTTAATGAATTTATTAATGAAGGAAACGATTGCTTCTAAAAATGAAGATAGTATTCTCTGTCACGACATTTCAAATGAAGATGGAAACGATTCTGAAAATGAAGAATTTTCTGCATCTATGATGCAATTAAATGAAAAGTATTTTACATTTCAGCTACTACTTAACAATATTATTATATTAATTTTGATTCATTATTACTTGCTATTTTTTATGTTATAGCTTATCTCAAAATACAGAAAATACTAATATTTCAAATCAAACTCAGATAAAGG